GGCAACACTGGGAATGCAACACGTTCCGTTTTGAATTGCATTCCAATCAGAATTTGTTGCTAGACGTGTAAGTTGTAGTTGCATAGCGCCTTGGGTCTACATTTGCTTTCTCAACATCTAGATAGTATTTATTTACAGCTACTTCTTTCGTTCTTTCAGGGCTATGCATTCTCTAAATCTGGGGAGCTGCTGACTCGTAGACTGAGGTGTCTGGGTTTTCAGGCGATGCTGGGACAGGAGATCGCCTGGTTTGATGACCACCGAAACAGTCCAGGTGCTTTGACCACAAGACTGGCCACTGATGCCTCACAAGTCCAGGGAGTAAGAAAAACATTCAGCAGATCCTTCTAGATGACCTGTGACACTTTTCAATAAAAATTAAGCTCAATTACACTAAATGACACCCCAGGCCACAGGTTCCCAGATCGGCATGATCGTGAATTCTCTGACCAACATCGGTGTGGCCATTATCATCTCCTTCTACTTCAGCTGGAAGCTCACTCTGGTCATCCTGTGCTTCCTGCCCTTCCTGGCTCTTTCTGGAGGGTTTCAGGCTAAGATGTTAACTGGATTCGCCAAGCAAGACAAAGAGGCCATGGAGGCAGCAGGACAGGTGAGCTCAGGCTAGACTAGAGTATGGTCAAATCTAGGCATTTTGAATGTCTCGCTGTCTGTTTCTGAGTTTAGATATCTGGGGAAGCACTGAATAACATCCGCACCATTGCTGGCCTGGGAAAAGAGCGTAATTTTGTGGAAATGTTTGAGGCACAGCTGGAGGCTCCGTACCAGGCCGCGCTGAAGAAGGCTAATGTTTATGGCGCCTGTTATGGGTTTGCGCAGTGCGTGGTCTTCATGGCAAACTCTGCCTCCTATCGATTCGGTGGATACCTGGTCTATCGAGAGGGGCTACACTTCAGTTTTGTTTTCAGGTGAAATAACAATGAAACAAAGTGTTTTTTGGTGTACAGTTGGAGTAAACGGATGTCATAATTAGGCAAGGTTCTATCACTACAGGGTGATTTCAGCGATTGTAACCAGTGGCACAGCTCTCGGCCGAGCGTCATCATACACGCCAGACTACGCCAAAGCCAAGATCTCTGCCGCACGATTCTTCCAGCTACTCGACCACATTCCTAAAATCAGCGTCTACAGCGATGAAGGAGACAAATGGGTAAATCTAGTTATCAGTACTAATCATTTTTGTCCCGTATTTCCCAGAAAAAAAAGTCACACTATCGGGTCAAAACTGCATTGCTGACAGAAAGAAAACACAGATAATACACAGATATATATATATATATATATATATGAATTTAGAATATATAAACAAAATATTTTAAACGTTGCATTTTACTACTGCATCGTTTCTTTGTGCAGCAATATAAGAATGTTCTGCATAGGCATACCGTCATTTAAAATGACAGTAAACTCTCTCTTTCTCTTTCTTTTAGGATAATTTTAAAGGGGACATTAAGTTTATAGACTGCAAGTTCACGTACCCATCCCGGCCAGATATTCAGGTTCTGAATGGTCTGAGTGTGAGTGTTAGACCGGGACAGACTTTGGCCTTTGTGGGCAGCAGCGGCTGTGGCAAAAGCACCAGCGTTCAACTACTGGAGCGATTCTATGATCCTAACAATGGACGCGTGGTAAGAAAACTCTTGGGTTTTGAGATGGGTTTTTGCATCAAACTCTTTTTCTGAAACACTGAGTTTGTGATCTAATCATTGTTCTTTATCGATTAGCTCATTGATGGCCGTGAATCTACTCGGGTCAATGTTGCTTTCTTGCGCTCTAAGATTGGGATCGTCTCTCAGGAGCCAATTTTGTTTGACTGCAGTATAGCAGAGAACATCCGCTACGGAGACAATCAGCGCCATCTCAGCATGGATGATGTCATCGCCGCAGCCAAGAAAGCCCAGCTGCATGACTTCGTCATGTCACTTCCTGAGGTGTTCAATGGGGAATCTTCATATTATAAAAATTTTGAATTAATGCTGCATTCACTTTGTGTCAAACTCTGCTTTAATTCTACTCTAAGCTCTTCACGTCTTCAGATTAAAGTCATTTATTTATAAAGGACATTTTAAAACAACAGAAGTTGATGCAATGTTATGTTGGCTTGAGGAAGGCTAGCCTGATAGTTTGAAAAGCTTGAAGTTTGAAGATTTTAAGTTTGAAGCAGTTTTAATTTTGAAGTAATTTTAAAAGTTTGAAGTTTTAAAGGGAAAGTTCACCCCAAAATGAAAATTGCCATCATTTACTTGCACTCAGTAAGGCTGATGATACATGGGGCAACATTTTGAGCAATGTTGTCAGGCAACTTTGGTTAATGTTGCTGTCAACAGGCAACCAGGTGAGACTGATCTAAAGTATCCATATTGAAATTTGTTACCCATTCTCAATGGGAAAGTGCCCAAGAAAAATTGCTCAAAAAGTTGCCCCGTGTATCATCAGCCTAAGACTTTTTTGTTTGTCTCCAGAACACAAATGAAAATATTTTTTATGAAATCTGAGAAATTTCTGTCCCTCCATTGACAGTCTATGCAACTATCACTTTGACGCCTCAAAACATTCATAAAACTAATCCACATGAATTGAACGGTTCAGTCAAAATTTTCTGAAGAGACATGATTGCTTTATATGATGAACAGATTTAATTTAGGCTTTTATTCACATATAAACATTTATCAACACACACATCAGTTATGGCAAACGGAAGCTCAAGCATGCTTGCTTGACGTGAGAACCAATGAGATTTGTTCTTGTGCATCAAGCAAGTATACGGCTGAGCTTATGTTTATGTTTGCTGATCAATGTAAAATGCTGTAAAAAAAAGAAAAGTTAATTGTTTTTATGTGTCCCATGATGCAGAAATACGACACTAATGTTGGTTCCCAAGGTTCCCAGCTATCCCGTGGCCAAAAGCAGCGCATTGCCATAGCCAGAGCGATCATACGAGACCCCAAAATACTTCTGCTGGACGAGGCCACCTCAGCACTGGACACAGAGAGTGAGAAGGTGAGCAGGAAAGCCAGAACTACAGTTTGAGAGGATCTTCCTGTTGTTGAGAACTCATACAGTCGTGTGTTTGTCTGTGTGTGTCAGACTGTACAGGAAGCGCTGGATAAAGCCAGAGAAGGCAGAACATGTATCGTCATCGCTCACCGTCTCTCTACTATCCAGAACTCTGACATCATAGCGGTGATGTCACGGGGTTACGTCATTGAGAAGGGCACGCATGACTATCTCATGAGCCTGAAGAGCGCGTACTACAAACTCGTCACGACCGGAGCGCCGATCAGCTAATCTCACACTCAACACTTATAGGAACTAGAGAGGATTTCCTACATCCAGATACAATGATAAATCGGCTGATATTTAGCTGATTACCATGCCTTCTTTCCCTGTATAAAACATTCATGTCAAAAGAGAACGTTAGTTAATCTAATAACTGAATGCTGAAAACAAAAACTTAAATGAATGTATTTATGTACTATCAAATAAAACATTTATCGATTAAACAAAAAAGCAGAGTCTGAGCCTGATGTTGTGATTAATCGCTTTGGAGTCAGAGGAAATGATGTCATGACAACACTGATTGAATGAGGGTGCTGCAAGAATATGCACAATCCCAAACCTTTATTAGCGACATGACCTGAGACTTCAAAGGCAGAAGACAGGGAAAAATAAAAGCTCTAAAGTCCATTTTGTGCATTTAAGAGCCCTCCAAAAATATGTCCGTGACAAAACATGTATAACATAATTCAATATTTGCAATTTATACATTGCTTGTAAAAAAAAAAATTTTTTTTTTTTAAAATCCGGAACTGCTTCCAGTGTACAACAGTGAGCGCAAGCTACAATAAAGTGATTATGTTTTGAATATGGATATTTTTCTTACAAAAATGCATCGATTCACTACAGAAGGCCTTTGTTCACCCCCCGGAGCCGTGTGAGACACTTTTTTTTATGGATGGGCGCATTTTAATGAAGTGCCTTTGGACTGATGCATGCAACACCCGCCAAGTGCCATGAAACAGCTTGAAAGATCAAAGACAATTTTTTATATAACTCCGACTGGATTCGTCTGAAAGAAGAAAGTCATATACATCTAGGATGACTTGAGGATGAGTAATTTATGGGCTAATTTTCATTTTTGGGTGAACTAACCCTTTAATGCTGCAGTCAACACTTTTCATTTCATTTTCACTTTATCTGCGACAGTCATAATGGATTTAGTTTAACTGTACAGCAGCATTTTTGTCCACGTGTGTTGCCATATTTTCTACAAGCGGAAACCGATAGCACGGATATTACATCATCGACAGGCAACAATGAACAGAGTGAAATGATATCGCTCATCAGCCACAGGCCAAGTGTAATCACAGCCATGCTTATACAGAGCCATATCGCACGGCCATGAGAGTGATATTGTCTTTATACAACAGTTTGACAGCACAAGCGTGTAAATGAATAAGAAAAAACAACAGTGTCTTAAAAAAAAAAAACACTTGTGCGGAACTACTTCCCAGGCCAAGTTAATGGTGGGTTCACACAGAAAGCTTTTTTTTTTGCTTTGAAGAACGCGAGACGCGTTGGGTGTGAACGGCCCCTAACAGATGACCCCAAACACCCGTTACGAATTCGAAAACGTCACTTTAGAATTAGCAACGAAAGGACGCGGAGTTGCTTCTTCGTAGTGAAAAATATTATACGAGATGGACTGAGCGAGTGTGATGACCTGCATCTGATACAGCATTCACTCTTCAGCTCAATCTCATATTCACAATAAAACATTAGGTTGAATGTTTGCTGAGGAAAGCGTTATCTTTGTCGTACTATCCTTTCATCTGTTTAGGGTGATTTCCGATGACAGCACTGCTCACTGCATTTGTTGATGCATTATTAAAAATAACCTCATTTCAGTCTCCAAATACTATTTTATTTGATATTGCTCATATATAAAACACTTTTTAAAGAAAAACAAGTCAGTGATATTCCCGCTTAACCAGTGAATGATTTATTACAAAACATCAGACAAACAGTTATAACATTAAAAAATATTTATAAAAAGTATTTTTTTTTGTTTGTTTTACAAACACATACCAATAATCAAGAATTCTTGACAATTCTGGAAAAATGGAAGAAACCATCAGCACATCAGGATATATAGATGATGCATTTCCAGTGCTGTTAAGCTCTAGTGTGAATGTAAGGGCAGATAGTGACCCGGCGTCTCATCTGAACACGATCCACACGACAAACACTTCATCCACTAAAGTCTGTGATCACACAGGGATAAAATGTCACAACAGGGTCTGCATAACATGAATATTTTAATAACATTACTGTAATTCAAAGGCTTGGCTATACTTGACCATTGAACATATTGCACTGAGGATGCCATGCCAAAGTGTACAGTGTATTCATGCAGCATGCAATCGGTCGGCTGACAGGCGGAAAATACAGCCTATTAAAATTGACACAAATTTGTCTTATACAGAGTGCTTACGATTTCAGTAGCCTGATGCAAAAAAGTTACAGAGGTCACAATTAACAAACTTCAAAAATATAACAGAAATGTTGAACTTGTCAGACATGTGCTGTCCTGACTGACTGACAACATCCAAATGACTGTTGCACCTTCATGCAATAAAAACACTGTCCCATTAGATTCAAATAATGACATATTCAACTTCGAAAAAGCGTTTTGGAAGAGAGTCATGCATATGAACACAAAAACATCCAGTCTGACATGTGCAACCGTTGGCGAGATCTGCCTATTAACAATGACGTCACACCGAACTTTAAAACCATAATCTAGCTCAAGCCTCCACCCACTGACTTCAGTTCTGCACACATTTGTAATCAAGTTCAAAACAAGCCATACAGATCCCTTTGCACAGTAGAAATCCAAATATATATAAAAATGTAAACATTATTCCAAGTACAAAAGCTTGTGAGGACTCCCGACAGACCAACGGTCCAGGGAAAACTTGTGATAACGTGCTTTGTTCCGCAGTGATCTGTGCACACGTGAATGAGTTCCAGTTAGCATGAGGTGTGTGACTGTATGCTTTACTGTTTCTTTCTTTCAAAGGTGTCCATGACCACGTTCATCTTAGCACCTGTGAACATTTGACAGTTTAAGTTGAACATGCAAAGCTGCGTGGGGGGAAAAAAAAAATTGTACGGGAAGAATAAAGGAAAATTAAAGACATGCAAAAAATAATTGTGGGAACTCTGTGAAAATATACTTTAGAATTGAATGGATAACGATTGGATTTTGGATGTTAAAAGAATCCATTTGATAAAAAAAAAATAAATTTAATCTTAATTATGAAGCACAGAGTGTCAGGGAAGGGATTTGAAGGGACAGTATACCTAAAAATTTAAATTCTGTCATCATTTACTCACTCTCATGTCATTTCAAACATAAAAAGATGATATTTTGAAGAATCCAGGTAACCAAACAGTTGTTGGTCCTCATTGACCTCCATTGTCACTATGCAAAAAAAATAAATAAAATTATGGAAGTCAATGGGGACCCTCTTCAAGAAATTCTTGAGGGAGAATAAAAGACAGAATTTTAATTTTTTTGGTGAACTATCCCTTTAATTTAAAATATTTTAAATCTAAATTCATCTTTAAAAACAAAGAAAAAAAAAAAGAAAAAATGTGTAAAACTGATCTATTTGGTTTGATGCATGAATATTGTTTTTTGGACAAACTGACCAACATGTACGACATGTCAAGTTACTTCTGGGGTTTCCACAGTTCAAGTCCAAATGTTCAGCACAAAGTGAGTCTTTTTTCCCCCTTCACACATATCATTTCAAACGCTCTGGAAACCCTTTGAGGTTGTGAAATAATACATGAAATGGGCCACATGACAATTCCATTCAAATATCATTTGAACTTGTAGCTTTTAACATCGCGCACAAAGTCGGTGCAAAAATGAAAAGCTCTTGGAGGATGAAATGAATTCGAAGCATTGGCACATTTTCATAGAAAAATCAAGTCATTCAATTTCCCTCAACAGGTTCACAGAAGGTGAGAAAAATGTACTAACAACCGTTAAGTTCTCTTTTTGGCCAACAGTACATCTCCAGTGTAAATTATATATAAAAAAGCATAAATATTTCCTGCATAAGACTAGCTTACTTCCATTTATACACTAATAAAATACTCCACTCGGTAATTGTTTGAATTCTGCGTGGCAACAAACATCTCAGCGGTTGGGTTGAGAAGCCTTCGGATATGTAACAGTCTTCAGTCGTTTATCTCTCCTTCAGTTTGCTTTTTTTTGGACTTTTCCGGCTTCGCTGTCTCTGCGGCTTCGTGTGCAGCTGCTGAGGAGAGTGGGCCGTCTTTGTCAGCCCGAGGTTCACCCTGATTCTGAGACACGTTTTCCTCAGCCTCTTCCTCTTCTTCATCTGAGCAAAGCCTCCAGTCGTCTGCTTCCTCACTCTCTGATCCCTGCACGGCGATCTGGGGAACCAGCGGATTCCTCCTCGCCACGCACTCCTCCTCCGACTGAGCGGGTATCTGAGGAGCCCTGTCATCCGGCTCGTCAAAGCTCACTTCCTGCACGGCTTCTTGTTTCTTGAAGGAATCTCGACGTTCGGAGAGATTCAGCTTGCGCATTACGACGATCTGCTCCATGCGCTCGCCGGGCCAGTCCCTCAATCTCTGGGCGCACAGGTACCCGCCCAGCCTGCCGTGATCCACTGTATATGTCGCACCACAGGCCCCCTCCGCCTCTGCGTCTCCCGGGATGTCCACCTCGCAGTGCGGGACCTCCAGCGTGTGTCTGCGGACTGCGTGGGGCTTTTTGTCTGCAAACAAAGCTCCCGAGAGTTTCTCCGCAGACTGGACTCTCTTCAGCAGAGGGGAACGTGGAGGTTCCGCACTCCGGGGTCGGACCACGTGCCGAATGATGGTGGGGGGTGAGAGGGTCTTGCCGTGGAAGGAGTGGAGGGTTTTAGAGATGCTGGGTAAGGGAGAGGGGGAGCGCTGAGGGGACAGGGCCTGTGGTGAGGAGGTGCAGGCCAGAGGCGAGGGCGGGATACTGCTGGTGGACTTCCGTCTCCCCACTTTAGTGTAACGCTGGTTGCTAAGTTTAGAGCCGAGGCCGTGGAGAGAGCTGGGCCGCATCTGGACTGCCGGTGAACTCGGAGAGCTGGAGCATGGAGAGGCGTTCTGGGGCAGGCTGGCATCTGAACGAATGGCAATGTTTTATGACAATTTGTAACAATATAAACTATGAACGATATATTCAACAAACTTTCTGGCATTTTCTAATAGAATAAGTGAACTAGAAATAGTGCAAAATATTTCTTCATTTTACAATATAAAGAGAAATAGTTTTAATTATAAAATAACAAGTTTTTTTATTTTTTTTAAATAGTCTTTCATTTTTCATACGTGTTAAAGTCAGGTCATACCAGCAGTGTGGTCGGGAACGGGGCTCCGGCAGGGTGTTGTGGGTCCAGAGGAAAGGCTGTGGGTGGGAGAGCCTGGCAGACTCTCGCTGGAGGACACAGAGTGATGCAGGCCGGAGGAGAAACTGCGGCTGCTGTGCATGACGGTGCTCTGTTTGGACAGCTTCTTCAGCATGCTGCGCCTCCTGGACGAACACCAGACATTATTCAGGTTAACGGAAAACATCAATGATGGACAGGGTTGGGCAGTAACGAAATACATGTAACATCGTTATGTATTTAAAATACAAAATATGAATAACTGTATTTTGTTATAGTTACATTTTAAATGGGTGGTAATTAAATGACAGTTATATATAGTTATAATTACAGTTATATTTTAGATTACCAAAGTGATTACTTTGAATTTTTATGTCATTTATTTAATTTAATATTAATGTAAAATGTTTGGAAATTTTAACCAATGAGGCAACTGGTGATTCTTGGAAAAAATAAAAACTTGTGCAGCCTGTTCATTTAGCAACCTGTAGAGAGAGTGCAGACGCTAGCCAGGACTCACAAAAATCCAGGAGAAAATCAGAAAGCCAAGCACATAATTGTCATGGAAATACAAAGACGATTTTACTTATAAATGTGAAAAAGGACGTAACATCACAGTGCAATGCAATTTTTGTTTACCTGCAACAAAACTTCTCTCGGCTTCAAAGGAACATCTAACCTTGAAGAAGCATCTTAAAGTAAGTTGTTCTCAATCTTTGTAAATCAGGGCGGCCAACACTGTTCTCACGCAGTGCCAGTGAGGTTTGTCTCTATGAGTTCTTGTTTTTCTATATTTACAACATATGGTATAGTTAAGCAATATCGATTGAGGAAGAAGAGTGCTGTCTACCCAAATATTAGCACAATTGCAAATGTGATGCTGATTTTATGCAATTCAAAAATAAGAAGTTAATATTAAGTGACTGATATTAAGTGACTGATTTGCTCTATAGCACCAACAAAAATGGTTCCATACATCGAATGTATATTTACACTAACACCGTGTCTACATATTGCGCTGCAACAGCTAAAGTCTGTCTACACTGGACATGACAAAGCAACCGTTGCAAATCATTGAACTTTGTGTCAGTACATCATAAATAGAACAAGGCATTAGTTTACTGTTGGGAATTTGTCGATCCAGTGTAGACAGCATCACTGATTATTATGGGTTCTATTGTATATTGTAGTGTCATGCCGTGCCGCTCGCGTCCAGCGTAAGAGCAAATCTGGTTGATTGACAATTAAAAATTATGCCTATTTAATATCAGCAGTAGTGGTGTAGGGAGAAGATGATCAGTTTTGACGCAATCGACCAGAGTTCGAATCTTCCTTTTGCCGAACTCATTCAACTCCCATTCTTCTCCCTTTTTCCATCACATAACTGCCACTAATATTAATAGCATCTTATTACTATCACTTATTGCAAAGAAAATACAAATTTTTTTTTTGCATAGTGTAAAGAGAATCTATGGCTATTTGCACTTAATGCAAATAACCACTGCCTTCAAAATAAATCCACATCAGAAGAGTTGCACGTATGTGAACAACGTTTGGTTCCTGAATAAAGCCACGTTTTGAACGAATTAGCTGAGAGAATGATTCACTTACATTCATAAAATCACTTGCTTAATTCCTGAATGAATCAGTCCTTTTGAACGAATCGAATGATTCCATGACTCTTTCATTAAGACAGTGATTTGTCACCACCTACTGGCGGTTTTAGTTTCATATTTAAAAATTTATTTTCCCCACATCATTTCATATTTCTGTTCAAAATTTTATATTTAAAACATTAATCTCATAACATTATTTATACATTCATAATTGTTTTAAATGCATCCATGCCACCCATTTTTATATAGAGGTGGTTAACAAAAGACCACAAAAAATAAGTAATCTAACGAGATACCTTACAAATTACTTCTAGTATGTATTTTGTAATCTGTAAGGAAATACATTTTAAAAGTAATCTTCCCAACCCTGATGATGGATCTCTTGCAAGTGTCAAAATGAATGCCATTCACTTATCCAACATATCAGCCAGCTAAGCTATCAAAGGATATTAAATATTTTCTGCTGAGTAAACACTGATGTTTTCAATGTGAATTCAGTGTGAATTAAAGTTCAGCAATTATATGTGCATCTAATTTGTATTCATTAAATTGTATTATCTATACAGAGGTATTATATTTAGCATAGTCCATTTAAAATAATATGAGAGCTTAAAAACAAGAGTTCTCCTGACCGGTCCTGACTGTCCTTCCATTTGCTTCTCTTATTGCGGCAGGCCATCTTTCCTTTACAGCTGCGCTTGCGTGCCGGCCCAATCTTTATAGACGTGTCCTCCAGCGCGATAGTCTGCAGGGTCACCTGGTTACCGCTCTGTATATTAAGAGGACCAAAATGAACGCAGATGAAACCAGTTGACATAACTACTACGAAAAAAAGCAATCTTTGCCCTCTCTCATATTTTATAGCAAACCAATTTATCTTTTAATTTACCTATTAATCATGCAGTGTTACTAGCTGGAATTCAATTTTGACAACAAATTACAATATATAATTTTCTTAGTTATAATGCAATTTGATCTACTAAGAACAAAAGTTATCTGCAGTTTTTTTTTTTTACTAGTCAATTACATTGTCACTAGTAAGAACTGCGTTTTACTATTCCAAATTGATTTGCAGATATTGTGAATAGAATTACAGATAGTAAAAATAAATGTTTTAGACAAAATTACATTTTAGATACCGTTAAATTATTACAAGTCAAAACTGCCTTACAGATAACTAAAACATTTAATTTTGACTAGTCAAAAGCCGTATTTTAGATATCTGTAATGCAACTTTGACTAGTAAATATTCTAACATTTATATTTACTAGTACAAATAATTATGCTGACATTTATAATTATATCAAAGATATCAGCAATTAAATTTGGACTAGTAAAATGATTAGTAAAAATGTATGACTCTATGATTATAATTATTGATCAAATTAGTTTAAAATGAATTATTACTAGTAGAAATGATATATGTTAGGGGTAACGGTAAAAAAAAATCGAACCATACCGTTCCCCACCCACAGTTCGGCACGCACTTGCACCATGGTTCAACTTAAATATGACCACACATCTGTAATATGGCTTGTTAAAAATAACACATAAAACAGAGAGAGTTCAGCTAATGTATGTTTCTGTCGATGGATACGCATTCTGGCTTCCCAATACAATACAACAACAGCGATGAACAAAAAAAGAAACATGGACAAACCTGTCACTCTTTGTAAATGTTGTTCAATGCGAGTGGCATATGCTGGAATATGACCAGTCATTTATGCCGTCATCACCCGGGTGTTGATAGGTGAGACCTGATCAGCACATGTTGACAGTCACCACTGATAAGCTACCACTAAATATTGTAGAAACTTCATTTGCTGTAAAGTTGCTTTGCAATGATTTGTATCGTGAAAAGCGCTGTACAAATAAACTTGAATTGAATTGAACATGTTGCTATCTGTGTTTAAACTAAACGCATTCAAGCCTTGCCAGTTTAAACATTCAAGAGCCAGATGCGAATGAGAAGTCACGCGCACAGTGAGAAGAATTGTGTGCGCGCTCATCCAAACTCTCATCTCAGAGTGCGCAAATAAATTCTCTTTCAAGTCTTGTGCTTCAATGGACAAATTCACTCAAAAATGATGTCAACATGCCCCTCTTGAAGAGCATCCCAGCAGACATAGTCGGTTGAACGTACTGTATCAGTGTACTAGATCCGTGCATTGTCAAAGTTTTTAATGTTAATCAAACAACAAAAGACAAGGAAATCACAAGTTTAATAAGGATTAATCTTTAATTTATAGTCAAATATGCAATGTATTTTACATTTGATTACTTTATTCAATTTCTGTACCTAAAAACTAATGTTAGACCTACCTAAATTACCTGAAAAGCACTGTTTATTTTATTAATATCTTTGCTCTATTGTATTTATTTGTGCTGTTGCTTGGAGTTTGATTATTTTTTCTTATTTTCTTTATTTTTATTTGACAGTGGTCTTTTTTTCCCCTAAACATACCATATACTGAACTGTACTGAAACCACCGTGACACAAACCGAACCGTGAGTAATTTGAACCGTTACACCCCTATAAAAAAAAAAATAAAAAAAAATAATAATAATGATATATATATATATATATATATATATATATATAGCTAGTGTAAGACGAGAATTTGGTTAAAAAGTATATAGTGTATTTTTTTTTTTTAGAAAATGACTGATCATTTCACTGGATAAGACCATCGTTCCTCGGCTGGGATAGTGTAGAGCCCTTTGAAGCTGCACTGAAACTGCAGTTTGGACCTTATATATATATATATATAGTATTTAGTACATTTATTTTTTTACATCTGTGTCTATTATCATTTTGCTGTTGCCAAATGTTTATAAAACTAATAAGCCACTTGAGGCTGTGTGGCAACAAAAATCACTGTAAAGTATGGCTTCAATTATGGGATTCAAAATGTTTTTTGTGAAATTCTTCAAAATGATGATTAGTCTTTGGTCTACTTCACAATATTACACAATGTTTCAGTGAATCCCAACATGCTTCTGTTCAAATACCTTCAAAAGCAGCTCCATCATCTCTGTGTGCACTAGACCCTGCACAGACTCTCCATTCACATGAGTGATCAGATCACCCGCTCGCAGTCCAGCCTCATGGGCAGGGCTGCTCTCCTCCACGCCCTGACAGAAAGAGCAAGAAGAATCCGAATAAACAGACCGATAAGCACCTTTAAAGCTCAATGTCCGAGTGTGTTAGGAGTGATTCTCTGCTCACCGAGACCATGTGGTGTATGGTGTAGATGTCGCTGTTCCCCATGTACACTCGAATGGTCTGCAGGGTGAAGCCATATTTCTTCCCAGAGCTGTGGATGATGATGGGGGGGCGGAGCCTGCTGATGCTGAGTGACAGGTCTCGGTTGGGGGAGGAGTCTCGGGATGATGGATTAGAGGAAAATGATCGAGGGGAAATTGAGTGCGCCTGCAGGCTGCCACTCCCGTCATCTGGGGAAGTGGAAGAAGAAAATAGTCACAAAAATACAGTTGAAGTGAAAACAAATTTACATTCGTAAAAAAAAAAAAAAAAACACTCAGTGCTGAGTTACATGTAATCCAGATTACATAATCAGATTCCAAAAATTAAAGCCCCCCTGTGGTGAAAATCTAGGTTTTAACATTGTTTACGTTTTTGGTGTTTTTAATATGTTTAAAGACAAACCATGTGCTAATTCATCAGTCAACGCCATTGCTGAGCATTTTCTCCTAAACGGCACTGTACCAAAGACAGTCTCAAACACGCAGTTTGAAATCACCTACCATCTATGAATTTGATTATAACATCTCTTTCCTACCATCACAAACACGTAACCAATCCAGTCAACCTGCGGGGCGGGGCTTTTCACATTTTCACCATTGGTCATCATAGGTTTCTATTTACAACATGTTTTTTCAGAGTTGAGCATTGTAGCCAATCACAAACATATCTGATAATTTCACGAACACAATGGCCAATCAGAAGTGTTAAGTCACCTTTATTTATATAGTGTTCTTTGCCCGCTTTCTAGGCTATAATCCATTCAGAATTCTTATAAACTTACCATAATTTATCCAGTATTGCCACTTGCCATTGTGCAGCATTTACGAATTCAGTTAAAGAAATAGTTCACTTCCAGAATAAAAATTTCTGAATTTCCTGGTCAGAGGAGAACTGGCCCCCCGACTGAGCCTGGTTTCTCCCAAGGTTTTTTCTCCATTCTGTCACCGATGGAGTTTTGGTTCCTTGCCGCTGTCGCCTCTGGCTTGCTTAGTTGGGGACACTTCATTTCCAGCGATACCGTTGACTTGATTGCAAAGATACTATTTAAACTGAGCTGGATGTTGACATCACTGAATTCAATGATGAACTGTCTTTAACTGAAAAATTAGTGTTTACTATTGTCATTTTGCATTATTGACACACTATTTTCCTAATTAATGCTGTTCAGTTGCTTTGACACAATCTGTATTGTTAAAAGCGCTATATAAATAAAGGTGACTTGACTTGACTTGATAATTTACTCGCCCCCATGTCTTCCAAGATGTTCGTGTCTTTCTTTCAAGAAATTAAGGTTTTTGAGGAAAACATGCCAGGATTTTTCTCTATATAATGGACTTCAATGGGGACCAAAGGGCTGAAGGTCCAAATTGCAGTTTCAGTGCAGCTTCAAAGGGCTCTACACAGTACCAGCCGAGGAATAAGGGTCTTATCTAGCCAAACCATCGGTCATTTTCTAAAAAAATAAACATTTATATACTTTTTAACCACAAATGCTCATCTTGCACTAGCTCGACTTCACACATTGTGTAGTCTCATTGGAAAAGTCACGCGTGACTTTTTGAAGTTGGAGGAGAAAATGAGATGGAGTTTTTCGCCTTATCCTACATTTCTGAAACAGAGTACACAGATG